AGGTTCCGTGCGCTGACAAGTGAAATTTTTGGCGACAAAATCAATAACTTGGGAATCACAAAAGCTTTTTTGCAAATGACAATGTTCACTGAGCGAAAAGGCGGCACAGTAATAAATATGGCGAAGCGGCTCTACCCATAAAAAACGGATAACATGATAGGGCAAAAGAAAGTTATTACATCGCTGGAATTTCGACAACAAAATTAATCGTATAGCAGTCTTGGCTTTATAGGTGCAATGATTTATTTTCTAGTCTGGGAAAAGCGCCTTTATGTGACTTTCTAAAAATTTGGTAAAATAACATGATACCAGAATTTGACAGAAATTTTATAGAAATTCTCCGAAATTTAAGTCCACATTTTGCAGTAAGTGAATTTAGTGCACTGGGTAAACAGAGTATAGGACTAACTCGCTACTGAAAAACGCGAAAATTAGTGAGCATCATCCCTCTACACTTTTTAATGATAATAACTAAGCTAATAACTAAGTTTATTTGACACATTTTAGTAATAATAATTAAGCTTATCCTTTTAACTAAGCTTATCTGATCTAGCTCAAACAGCTTTTCTGAAAGTAGACTGAAACTTTTAGGCTTAATATAGTCTTCACGGCTATTAAGAATTTATTCAAAGCCACAAGTACTTTGCCACTAAACATTCCATTTATGATTTTGATGTTTGCAGTCAGAAGCCGGCTGAACAACCGGCTGCAGCAAAGCCTGGAGAGGAAAAGAAAGGAGACGAGAAAAAAGAGGAAGGCGATAAGAAGGATGATAAGAAAGCGGATAAAAAGAAGGAAGGCAGCGAAGGAGAGGGCAAAAAAGACGATAAGGAGAAGGACAAGGACAAGGAAGGTGATAAAAAGGAGGGGGAGGGTGACAAAAAGGAAGCTGAGGTAATATTAACCGTTCCACTAATTTGTTGCCTTTTATGCATTTTTATGAAACTGACGAATTTCTACGTGGTTTTTGACGCAGTTTCGAGCCTAAATTGCTACCTCCGTTTCTTTTCTTCGCCCCTCTTTTCCTACCTTATGCTCACACAAACTAAAGTCTCCGAATAATGACTGTAGAAATTGTCAGCAGATCTGCAGTGCAGTAAAACTGTAAACAGCCAAAACCTATTGAATATAATGCGTTTCATTCTTTGCGAAAATTCAGAACTGTTGCTTCCTATCTAAATTCCATGTTCCCCTACCCGCAATCTAAGGTGCTAGACAATCTAGCTCCTTTGTTAAAGGAACCAGAACTGCTTTTCGTAAGAGGGAGCCGCTATGTCCATATCAAATAAAGGATCGCCTTGAACACTTTTCTCTCGATTGCCATACGAACTAAAGTGAAAAAAAGAGCTGTCTGTCGAGCATCCCATGTTCGCTTCCCTAAACATTCCACATATAAAACTCATAAATTTCTCCATTTAAAAAAGTTCGTAGCGCACCATTCAGCTACACTCTACAAAACGCTTTTTATGCGTTTTTTGCATCTATGCAAAGCAAAAACGCATATTGTCGAGGGATTATTTGTGTATTTGTGTGTTTGCCTGTGCCGATTTTTCACCTCGAGACCTACAAAAGCTTTGGCGACTTAATCTACACCTATGTATTGACCCCCTTCCTCAATATGACTTCTCTCTTCCACGTGGTTCTCACGTAGGGACACGTGACATATCTTGGCAAGACTCCACGATCGTGATTATTGGGAATATCCTTGCGACAAATATGACTGTGTGTGATCCGTTCTCAATTCGTCAAGGTTGAGAATGGCTCTCATTTCTCACTGATAAGGCTGATACGTCGCTACCTAAGTTAATATTTTTTCTTTTCAACAAAAGTATTTCCATAGTTGCGAAAGTCCTCAAATTCAGCCGGCGAAGTCAGCTCATTTTGCACGCTCAAAAAGTTTATTAACGTGGCATCTGTAGTCTTGATTACTATTATTTGTCGTTACAAATACTTTTTTACTATGCACAGCAAAATGTGCTGGTTGATT